ACAATTTAGCATAGACACTCTACATTACCCCTAGTTATCATCATCATGATTTCTATAGTTTAGGCATATAGCTAGCCAGGCTTAGTTAGCTACCTAGCTAGTTGTTTTGTTATCCAGCTAGCAATAATAGTGCTTGCTAACAAACAAAAAAAAAAAAAAAAAAAAAAAAAAAAAAATGTCTAATATGTTAGTTCGTGTTTAGCTACATTGAAGAGGAACTAAAGTTACTCATAAGCTGTGTTTGAAAACTCATACCAACCGTACTAAGCATACTATTTGTGATGCAAATTGAGTATGTGTATGGATATAGTTAGTATGCCAAAAGTTCCTGGATGTTGTACTACATTCGCCAAAATACAAAGCATACAAGCAGTGGACACTATTTCCGTTCTTTTAGGGCCCATAAAGTAATTATTTAGAAAATGGGCGTGGCTTCACAACATTTTCAGATTTGAAGAAAATGGCGGAAAATATGCAGCTGAAGTCCGACAAGAGAGGATACAAATTAATTGCTTTAACTAATTATGACAAATGTTAAGAAAATGTTGAGCAATGTAATGAAGTAATTACTTTTCAAATAAGTTACGTTACACGTTATGTTGGCTGACAATTAGTTAGCTACGCTACCCTTACGAACCGTATAGCATATCATTACAGCAGTTGCTTGTATGTACCGGTGTGTTAGCTAGCTACCTAACATTACTTGGCTGCTAATACATCGAACTTGCCAGTATATTAACTATATGCTATCTAACTAATTACCCAACGTTTATTGTTGTGCGTTCTCAATGGATATTGTTAATGAAGTCGTAAGATGTCTAACTAGTAATTTGTTATGATAAGAAGCTAGCAAGATGTTGCATAGCAACAGCATCAACTTCCGGTAGACAGGCGAAGCGCTAGTACACTCAACTGAAAGGATACGGTTTGTTTACAGTACACTAAAACCAACGAATAGTATATAGTATATACTCATTAAGTATGTATTATACAGTATGTTAGTATGGGTATTCGAACACAGCTATAGTGTGTTGACACAAGTAAGTAGCTAGCTAGCTAAAGTTGACATGCTGGGTCTCACGTAATACCCTTGGGTAACGGATACCCTGAGAACAAGGTTCAGGGAAGATAAGACCATTGAGCCCAGCTAACATTAGCTAGCTAGCTAGTTAGCTAGCGAGTAGTGACCATGGCATATTTGCTAGCTAGCTAGTCAAGGTTAGAAAACTAGCTAGCGTGCTAGCTAATAGAAAATAAATAAACGGAGTCCATGGAAAGTCTATTCTGTAGATGGTAACTAGCTAGTTAGCCTAGTCGGTAGGCCCAACAAAAATGCCAGCTAAAGTTTGCTAGCTAGCTAGCTAATGTTAGCTACCTAGCCAACACTAGGCTAGCTAGCTAGCAAACACTAGCTAACTACCTATGATAAATTGTCCAGCAGAATTCATGTATCTAAAAAAGCAAAACAAATTGCATGGAAAACTTACTTTCTCTCTCTTGTGTTGAAGTTTTTAACCTACAACACATTGACATATGTAATTACACTGTAATAAGGACCCCTTAAAATTCAGTGTTACCTATTTAAATTATTATTTAAAAAAATTGAAACCAATCGAATATTATGTATATTGGGGATACAATTATCCCAGCTCTGCAGATTTTGCTGTAAAGAGACAGAATCATTAGATCACTTTTTTTTGGTACTGCCAATATTTAACTTGTCAAATCACGACATTTACCTAAAACTAACTCTGCAAATAGCACTGCTGGGTGACTTCAAAAGCCATAGTCAATCGATCGATAATATAATAATAGCTGAAGGGTGGGATTAAAAAAGATACTATAACTAGTGTAAAATGTCCCATGTCCGTAAAATATATATAGTATGTATAAGATGGAAATAGAAGTCTTGTTGTCAATTAGTTTACTCTGATTGGGGGAGGGATGGTAGGGTTAGGGGAAAATAATGAAGAAGGAAAATATATACTGACCAAAAATAGAAACGCAACATGCAACAATTTCAATGATTTTACTGAGTTACAGTTCATATAAGAAAGTCAGTCAACTGAAATAAATAAATGAGGCCCTAATCTATGGATTTCACATGACTGGGCAGGGGTGCAGCCATGGGTGGGCCTGGGAGGACATAGGCCCACCCACTTAGGAGCCAGGCCCACACACTTCGGAGCAAGGCCCAGCCAATCAGAATTAGTTTTTCCCCACAGAAGGGCCTCCGACGATGCTGTAGGTGAAGAACTCGGATGTGGAGGTCCTGGGCTGGCGTGGTCTGCAGTTGTGAGGGTCGGTTGGACGTACTGCCAAATTCTCTAAAACGACTTGGAGGTGGCTTATGGTAGAGAAATTAACATAAAATTATCTGGCAACAACTCTGATGGGCATTCCTACAGTCAGCATGCCAATTGCACGCTCCCTCAAAACTTGAGACATCTGTGGCATAGTGTTCTGCGACAAAACTGCACATTTTAGAGTGGCCTTTTATTGTCCCCAGAACAAGATGCACTTGTGTAATTATCATGCTCTTTAATCAGCTTCTTGATATGCCACACCTGTCAGGTGGATGGAATATCTTGGCAAAGGAGAAATGCTCACTAACAGGGATTCAAAAATTTTGAGAAATAAGCTTTTTGTGCAAATGGGATATTTTCAGGGATATTTTATTTCAGCTCATGAAACATGGACCAACACTTTACATGTTGCGTTTATAATTTTGTTCAGTATAAATATATTTCTATAATAAAGGGGATTAGAAATGATGCAAACAATTACATTGATAGAACCCACAATCTATCAGCAATATTAAAGCTGAGGGGGGGGAAAGAAGGCTATTTAAGTAACTATTTTGTTTAAAAGTATAATGTGTCCCTATGTTTTGTGTAATTGAAAATCACTCATTACAATGATATACAAGGATCTTAAGCATTCTCTCCAGTGGCAAACTGTTATCGGGGGAGGGGGTCTATGTTAACGAAAGTTATTAGCTAATCACACCCTTTTCGTATGTCATAAATTTGAGGAATCCATTGATAATTTGGTGTGTCTAATACAAAGTGTCTTTGGTGTTACATTGTGAGCAAATGACATTGTGAGCAAAGTGATTAATCACATCACTTTAGTAAATTATTCTTTAAAGGGTTAATTATTTTAGATCAACTGTGGCCTCCATTTAAGAAAATCATCAATGTGTCATTGGTGTTACTGCCATTGGTGTTACTACTACTTCTGGTGGCACAGTGTTATCATAATGGTAAAATATGGGAAGATATACCAAAATACATTTAAATAAATAAAACAATCCAGGTTTTTATTTTATTTTTTAAATGCAATGCCCAAATGCCACCACAATTCAAGAATGACCCTGGTGTGTTGTCCTGTTGTCAATGCAAGAGGTAACAGTAACCATAGTGGTCAATTACCATGGAGCTCTCCTAACAAGCTTTCATTAGGAGTAAGATGATGTCATGTGGCTTTAAAAGTATACTCTAAAAATTAAAAAATTGGAAAAATATAAAAACTAAATTGTAAAGTGGTTGTCCCACTGGCTATCATAAGGTGAATGCACCAATTTGTAAGTCGCTCTGGATAAGAGCGTCTGCTAAATGACGTAAATGTAAATGTAATGTGGCTGTAGTGTGCTAGTTTAAGTGACATAATTGGACTCCTTCATTATTTTAAGTCTAATGTAAATATGACTCATAACCTGACTTAGTATGGCTTAGCCTTTGTCCTTCAGCACCTCTGTGTCCATGTGAAAATGGAAAGGGTCTAGGTTACTAATCTCTAGTTCACCAATTTATCTCAACCAATTATGGATGACTCCTGAGCCCAGACATGTGTTGGTATGTATTTTTATGTAATTTTATGTAATGTTATGTACCTGCCATTCACTAGGAAATTATGTAGTAGCAATATTCTCCGGTGCTGAACTAAAATCATTCAGCACAATTGGTAACTACAAATGGTATGAAGGTGCATATAATACATTTGAATCAAATGGAAAAGAACATTAAGCAGTACATATTGTAATATGATATAATAGCCTACAGACAATTATCTAATATCTATGCCAGTGACTACCCAAACAAGACCAGGCCATTACCAATTTTGAGTAGATTGAGCAAGGTCCCAAATTCCCCCCAGACAGTTCCATGGGTTCCGCATACTAGTGAGCATAGGTGTATAGCATAAATACTAACGTTGCCCTCTAGTGGAAGATTACAACATATTGGGGTGGACAGTGAAACGTCTAAGAAACTCTCAGGAAGTCCATTGACTGTTTGAAGTATGCTACCTACTCAATGGCTCCTGTTTTGTATTTTGCATTTTCAATCCATATAAAATCATTTCTGGTGGTAACTTGGTATCATTTTGTCACATGGAAGTCAGAGGTCTGCCATTATCAGGATAGAGTGCATGTTTGTTGTTTGCCCTCCAGGCAATATATGGTTATAATTAGAGTTGACCTGCTTTCATTATCTGTCACTTAAGGAATGCAGGTCATTCCACTTCACTCCTGAAGTGTTGTGGTGTTCCATGCAGCTATCAAGTGGAGTCAGTAATCAGTATAAACCTCAATGTTTTGATAATCAAAATATTTGATTACATAGCCAACATCTAGACAGGTGTCAGTTTCAGTACTAACAATATAACAGAAGTAAAAAATAAAAAACAGCAACATGTAATGACTCTTCTTGCCATGCATTGGATTCACTATAAAAGCAAAGCCAAACAGTAAATGAAAATAAATAAATTATTGAAAAACGATTTTGCAAAATGAATGTATACGTCTAAGACGGGTTTATGAATACAGAACATTTTTCTCATAGTTAAGTGGTCTAGTCTCTTTCTAAATAAAATAAATGCACATATTCTTATTCTGAATCCAAGTAAATGCCCTCATTTACCATAAGAACCATCATCCCTCCTTCCTTAAGTGAACAATTTCAGTGTGCCTCACCCTAACCATGAAACACAACAGACTTTCACTTGTCCATACATATCATTTTGCCATACAAATCATGTTCTTTGTAGAATAGGTATTCCTTCAGTCTGGGTGGGAAGAGGGCAGAGTCCCTGATGTTTGGATGCCCCAGTCTCTTTGAAGTCATCTGTTTCCTGATCACCAGTCTGCACAGATGTGTCAGTGAACGGGGTTTCGCTTGGTCAGAGAAGTAAGACAGAAGAGACGTTTCAGGTTCAGTAGCAAGGGTAGTCTGTGTTTTTAGTGGGTCATGTCCCCCTACTCATGGCAATTGCATTGCCTACACATTTATCTTGTTTTTTCCTTTGAATTTAATCAAACTACTCACCTAATATGCAGCAGATCTGAGGCCACTCTTTGTGCTTCTCCAGGATCTGTCTCAGCTTTGGACAGAGAGGCATGTGACTGACGTAGTCCAGAAGGATCCACACAGCTCTCCCAGCCAAGTGCACCAGCCAGGAAACGCTGATGAAATGACAGAACTGGATGACAGGGATGACAAAATAGATTTGTTAGGGCATTTATTACAATCGTTAATATGTGGATTTTATGACAGTTTCTGGATTTCAAATTATAACTCACAGAAACTTGTTCTTGATAATCGGAATCAGTCTGATCACTCAGGTCATCCCAGGTGCTGTCATGGTTACAGCAGAAACATTTATCTGCGTCATAGCCGTTGTTGAGCAGCAGACGCATCATCATTTCGTCCCGCAGGCAGTACTGCAGAGCCGTGGGAAACACTGTGTCACTCATCACGGCAAAGTAACAATTGATGTCTGCCTGTCTGGACAAAAGCAGCTTCACAATCTCATACCGCACATCTCTCACCGCCACCAGGAGGCAGCATAGAGGGTCCAGGTCAGGTTTGGCTCCTGCATTCAGCGGCATTTCAGTGCAGGTCACGTCTCCATTAGAGACAGTAAAGTACAATGCACTTTTTCTCATGTCTCCGTAGTCTTCAGAGATGTGAAAGTCTAGGAGAGAGTTGACATCAAAGCCCTTTTCCACGAGTAGCTCCAGGCATTGTTCATGGCCTCTGTCGACTGCAGAGTGAACGGGACTCTGGCCTGAAAGTCTGATTGCCCTTCTAGTGGTTATCAGAATAAAAATTGTCAGTGCCCTGATAGAGAAAAGTTAACTCCGATCAGTAAAGTAGTTCTCCTTAGAACTACATTCTGCACTTCTTTATTTTAAAGATAAACAATGGACTCTTGCAGAGGAGGCTGGTGGGAGGAGCTATAGGAGGACGGGCTCATTGTAATGGCTGGAATGGTTTCCATATGCTTGATATGCTTGATACCGTCCCATTTATTCCATTCCAGCCATTAAAATGAGCCTGTCCTCCTATAGCTCCTCCCACCAGCCTCCTCTGGACTCTAGGTTAGAGTACTCACAGGTTGTACTCACAGGTAATGGCCCTCATATGCTGCTCGATGAATGGGTAGCTCTGAGCACAGACTAGGTACATTGGGGTTGGCTCCATGTCGCAGAAGTAGGTCTATACAGTCTGGATTCCCAGATTGTGCCGCATCATACAGCACACTGTCCCCATTGGGCGCCTGTGCATTCACATCGCCACCTAGTTGTAGGGAGAGGAAATCCAGCTTCTGCTTATTGTAATTTCTCAGACAATGGGAGAATCTCAATTGTATTTCCTTAATTTGTCGCGTCCTCTCTCCTCACCACCTCAAAACCCATTGGATGAAAAGGTCAGATGTCCCTCCCCTCTGTCCAATGGGTTTTGAGAAGGCGAAGGAGAGGGGACATGAGAAATCAAGGAAATTCAATTGAGATTCTCCCAATGTCCCAAATCACCCAATAGGCATTTGGCTGCGTTCACACAATTAGCCCAATTCTGATATTCTTTCCACTAACTGGTCTTTTGACCAATCACATCAGATCTTTTCACATCAGATATTTTTCAAGCATATCTGATTGATCAAAATACCAATTAGTGAAAAAAAGATCAGAATTGGGCTGCTTGTCTAAACACACCTCAAGTGTCTGAAGGGTTTGGGCAGAGCCATATATTAAGAGAGATTGGCCAGGTTTTTAGAGCGGACGCCATGTTAGTGCCTTTATTCTCAACATTTTGGTGACGTAACAATACGAGAGTGCCTCCAACAATTCCCTGTTTTGCTGTAAACAAGTAAAACAGAGCAGCGAATATAACAGAAGTTTTTATTGATTAGCATTTGGGATAATGTGTATCCAAGTCGGTACTGTATTTTGGTGTTAATAGAATTGCATATCTGCTTTCACTGGACATCTTCACAATGCGGAAGCATCAATTATCACTTAGCAACAGCTATGGAGGAGAAAGTGGCGCTCTCGGAACATTCGACAGAAACCGCATTGGCCCAACTCTCTATATATATGACTCTGTGTTTGGGTTGGTTTATGCAATATGTTGAAAGTTCTATCTAGCTCTAGCCTATCAGAGGGCAAACTGGAGCTATCGTGCTTTTACCTACTCACCATTGTGAATAAGGATCTCTAGAACCTCTGAGTGGGCGTGCTCTGCTGCAATGGCCATTGGAGTCACGCCGTCTTGATCTATCTCATTGACCTGGCATCAATGTTCCAACAACAGCTCCATGATATCAGAGCAGCCTACCTTTGCGGCCTTGTGCAGGGCAGTCGACTGCTTCAGACAGACCTGCTCCACACAGGCTCCTCTCGTGATCAGGGCAGATGCCATTTCATACGACCCAAATCTAACAGCTGACCGGGAGAAATCACAACAACTGTTGAATATCAGGGGAACAATATGGTAGGAGTCATTTCAACAATGGTACTTGTTGTGACAACAAGGATGCCAAGAACACAGACTTTATACCTTTCACTAATACCTAGCAGTAGAAGGGTTTCTTTCTTGCTGTTGGTGTTATGTGGAGACGCTCCATGTTCAAGTAGCATCTTCACATAGTCCACCAGATCAGCCATAGCTGCTAGAGTTAGCAGTGTTTCTCCCTCCATTGTCTTCTCCTCCAGGGACAACCTAAAAGACGCTGTTGGACACAACCCAAAAGATCAGGAACCAGTTCCAGTTATCACATACAAGGGGCACGTCCAACAAAACCAAACAAGTCATGTGGCCCATAAATCAGTAAATGTCCACATCCATGCCAGCAGATTTATGAGATATGCAGTACGTGTCCAGATATGCAGCCCATGAGGTGATTACTCTGTAATAGCCTACCATACAACACTATCTCCAGCATCTTCACCAGAGGTTGGACAGCTGCCTTGTGCAGAGGGTACCAGCCCCTGTCATCTGCCTTACTGAAGCCTGCTTGAAATTCTGACAGCTCTTGGAGGGCGAGTATGTCACCTAGGTGGAGAATGTACCAGAAAGAATGATTACTTTTCACAGGAGCACTAGTGTCTTATGATGAAGTATCAGTTATTCAGTCATTCAATATCAGTCTACAGATTCCTAGCAGTTTTCTGTTGTCAAGTAATTGGACATGATTCATCTAAGCCACATAAAATGGTGTAGAGCCGGCCCAGCCCCCAAAATGAATCTTCTCAACTGTATGCAAGGATTATTTTGTGTTTCTCAGGAATGCTGAATTATCTGTTTGCTCTTACCATCCCACGTACTATCACACCTCTGGATAGTAGAGGTGATATTGACACTCTCTCTCTCCCATGATCTATGGGCCTTGGCACAAGCCATGGTTTCCTTGTCTCTCTCTCCCTCTCTGATGATGTCCAGATTATGAATGCTTTGTTAATGCCAGTAATGCCTTGTAATTTATGTTCATGCCTTGTATAATGTAATCATTCATTTTACAATGATATGAAATACTTGCATAAAGTATTAAATTCTCAGATATTTCTTGATAGCTTATTACTGTAACTCATCAATAGTCCTGCTTGCATATTGCTAAATCATCGTTATGCAGTCAGATAAACACTTTAATAATAATAATATGCCATTTAGCAGACGCTTTTATCCAAAGCGACTTACAGTCATGTGTGCATACATTGTTACGTATGGGTAGTCCCGGGGATCGAACCCACTACCCTGGCGTTACAAGCGCCATGCTCTACCAATTGAGCTACAGAGGACTTTGTCATTATTAATTGCATAGTCTTATCACGGGTCGCATGTGGGATTTATGCATTTTCATTGCAAAGTTTGTTTGTATACAGTACATCAGTAGTGTGAGATACAAAGCCATGGTTTGCTTTGCGTTGTCTGTGTATTCATTTAGTGGGCCAATGTAATATAATTTTGCGAAGAATGGCTATCCAACCTGGTTCATAATTTACATAAAACGATAAGACTTTACATGACACCCAGCATAATAACACGGTCATAACCATGTCATATGTCATAACAGCTGACATAACTTGCCATAACCTGCCATAATATGGTCATAACACTGTCATAACACATATATTTAGACCTGTTGTGACATATATTGCGTTATTTTATGACTGGTTATGACATCTACATGAGAGTGTCAAAACCCACAAAACCTACCACACAAGGCAAAACATTACATTACACCATAGCCTACTTGTGAACAGTATGTTTATGTTACATACCATTTTCTGAAAGGTATCATATTAAATTGTTATTGTAATTGTGCACACATCGGCGGTAGGTAGCTTAGTGGTTAAGAGCGTAGTGCCAGTAATCGAAAGGTCGCTGGTTCTAATCCCCAAGGCCAACTAGGTGAAAAATCTGTCGATGTGCCCTTGAGCAAGGCTCTTAACCCTAATTGCTCCTGTAAGTCGCTCTGGATAAGAGCGTCTGCTAAATGACAAAAATCTAAATCATTAATGTCAGCTACCCCAAACCTCTGTTTCTGATGAGAGCAGGACAAGACACTATTTTTGACTGATGGCTGACAATCGGCTTATCTGGTTTATATGATTATGATGGTCATAATGCTTTTTGACAGTGTCATAGAGTGTTTTTTTCTTCGTCCAAGTAAAGTGACACAGGATGGTCATTATGCTTTATGACAGTGATTTAAAATATGATGGAAAGAAACATGACTGTAAAGAATTCATTACAACAACGACTTAGGAAACAAACATTTACATTTTTGTCATTTAGCAGACGCTCTTATCCAGAGCGACATACAGTTAGTGAGTGCATACATTTTCATACTGGCCCCCCGTGGGAATCGAACCCACAACCCTGGCATTGCAAGCGCCATGCTCTACCAACTGAGCTACACGGGACTACAAACAAAAGGAATACGTTTGAAGAAATGTGGGTTTTGACACTCTTATGTAGGTGTCATAACCAGCCATAAAATAACGCAATATATGTCACAACAGGTGTAAATATATGGGTCATGACAGTGTTATGACAATTTTTGTCAGCTGTTATGACTTATTATGACATGGTTATGACCATGTCATAACGTGTTATGATGCTGGGTGTCAAGTAAAGTGTTACCCATAAAACCCTGAATGTGAAAATGACAATCTCAGTAATCAGACAGTGACCATGCATTCACCTCGATCAATAGCCTTTATGATCTTCAGATGTTCATCACTGAGAATATCGAAGCAGAGGAGATCATGTTAAGAAAGTGTTTGAAAATAATTTAAGTAAGCATAATATTAATAATTGTACATGTCATTTTGATCTCAACAATGACAGCATATAGCAAAATGCAAAAGTAGCCTAGGAAATTGAGTATTTTCAGAAGTGAACTCGTATCATGCATTACCTCTCTAAAGGTGCTAATAATAATTTTGGGCATGACTCTTGAATGCTCATCTGAATAGCGTAATCAAGCAGTCGATCTCCGTCCATGTCGTCAGGATCCATAGCTTCAGAGGAAATAGCAATGTTAGCATGTGGCCTACTATCACTGTGCTCCAAACCTTTAGGTGTGCAAAGGTAATTGACTCCAGAAACATCTAAACATAATTTTCTGTTTTATTAGATATATTTTCCTATTCACCAGTCAGGCAGATTTCAGTTCCCACCTGTGAAATCTAGTTCTGTTTAAATCACGTGTCCTACCCGGTCCAGAGATTGTAGAGTGTAATTTGTGCCATGCCTGAACTGAATCCCCTCTCTACCAACATACACACACACACACACACACACACACACACACACACATTCGACTAAGGCTATTTTTAGGTGTCACCTGCTCCCGTTGAAGTTGTGTGTTTAGCGTGCAGGCCATACCACAACATCCAAATGTACACTAATTGTCCATAATGTCAACCAGTGTGGAAAGAGTCAGCAATGTTTTAATAACAGATGTCAAACATTAGCCTTGTAAGAAGAGAATTGTTCAGGGAAGATACATTTTCTCTGGCAGACCATCAAAGGGGCTTGAAGAGCTCCCTGTTGGGTAGTGTTAACATGTGATTAAAATGTAGAAAGACATCTAGTGTTGTTGTTTTTCCGAGACACAAAGATGATTCAAGACTATTGTGCTGAAACTAAATAGGATCTCTCAGAAGCTGCACCAGAACTTCTAGAGCTGTTCCTTTATCATCAATTCCTTTATCAAACATCCATGCTTACTTTACTTTTGACTCATATTTTGCTCAAAAAGAGACAGGAGAAGACTTTATCCAATCCCCCCCACAAACATAAATGTATAATATACTCAACAATTCAAACATATACAAGCTGCATAGTCAGTAAGGTTGCATGGTTGGTAGTTCACAGTTGTCTCTTCTCCCTGCATGGCCAACACTTTGGCCATACAGATCATTCATCAAGTAGCTCTTCAGTCTGGGAGGGAAAAGGTCACAGCTCATGATCATGGGCAGGGCCGGATTAAGAAATCATAGCCCCCGGGGCTTTGGTCTTGAATTCAAACAAACAATAGCCCAGGCCAATGAAGTGACATACAGACTGTACAATATTAGGAGGATATATATACAGTGGGGAGAACAAGTATTTGATACACTGCCGATTTTGCAGGTTTTCCTACTTACAAAGCATGTAGAGGTCTGTAATTTATATCATAGGTACACCTCAACTGTGAGAGACGGAATCTAAAACAAAAATCCAGAAAATCACATTGTATGATTTTGAAGTAATTAATTTGCATTTTATTGCATGACATAAGTATTTGATACATCAGAAAAGCAGAACTTAATATTTGGTACAGAAACCTTTGTTTGCAATTACAGAGATCATACGTTTCCTGTAGGTCTTGACCAGGTTTGCACACACTGCAGCAGGGATTTTGGCCCACTCCTCCATACAGACCCTCCTCCAGGGTTGTACTCATCCTTCTTCTTCCTCCAAACACGGCGAGTGGAGTTTAGACCAAAAAGCTCTATTTTTGTCTCATCAGACCACATTACCTGCAAAATCGGCAGTGTATCAAATACTTGTTCTCCCCACTGTATATATATTATATAGGTTACAGTAAGCTACTAAAAATATTTCCAGTGGCACACTGACTCACCTAATGATGAAGATGAAGCCATAGGCTACTCACGGTGATGGCTGATGCACTCGTCATGGCATAGCCTATCTCAAGAGGAGTTACTTTGAAAAACAAGGCTGCTGTTTGCCAAAAATTGGGAGTTGTTGAGAATAAATTGTTTCTATTGGTTCTACGGACAGTTTAATCTTCTATTTTCAGCAGTAGGCAAACTGTATGCTTTTCCGCGATTGTATTTTGAAATCTGCAAAGGCAAACCTACATCCGCAACCAACCATAGAAATATAATCCATAGATGGCAGTTCCCATTCAAGTTAGGACCGGCAGCTATTGTTAGCGTACCCATGAGTTTATTAACAGTCAAATTGCCAGGGTAAGAGGTTCCAAAACCCTTCTATAGTTTATATGTCTATGGCCACAAAGCAGCGGGAAACAACTGCGGCCTTCCCGACTGTAGACATACCAGCAACTGCCAAAATAAGGGAAACACTTCAGTAAATGAGGGATGCAAAGCATTTTCCTGGCATGGTTTAGGTCCACTTGTAGAATCTATGCCAAGGCACATTGAAGCTTTTCTGCCAGCTCGTGGTGGCCTAACACCCGTTCAAGACGCTTTATGTTTTTTTGTTTTTTTTTTCAACCTGAATGTGCTTGTGTTGAAACTTAATCCACAGTTATTTTTTAGAAACTATTGATCCTCCGTGGCTAAATTATGCTCTCTGGTGTATTTTGAACAATGAGAGTGGACTCTTGTGGTTGGATAAAAAAATAGAATAATGTTGTTGTTTTTTGTCTCTTGGGCCCCCTACGGGCTTGGGCCCAGCCCCTGACTGACACAATTGACCAGTCATATTTATTTATTATGCAGTTTATTTTAATTTGTTTTATTAATCAGTTACGCAATTAAGGCAGTGCCCCGCAGTTACCCATGTGGGCCCCCTATCTCCACTCCTCCCCCTTCTGATAATTAGCCGAGCGGCAGCAGGCAGCAGCAGGCTGTCTACACTCATTGAGAGCGGGCTCCTGAGTCCTCCTGTGGTTGAATGTTGCAGTAAAAATAGACTAAATATATACTACATATATAATGTATACTGTATATATTTCCTTAATTTTTTTGTGTGACTTTTTGTGTGTCTTTTTTATATATATTTTTGCTGCCTCTTGGGCCCCCCACGGGCCTGGGCCCAGGTGCTTCAGCCCCGGTAAACCCCTGCATTAATCTGACCCTGATCATGGGGTCATTCAGTCTTTTTAAGGTCAGCTGCTTCCTGATCTCCAGTCTGCACAGGTGCTTGAGTGATCAGGGTTCCCTAGGTGAAAGGGAATAAAGAGAAAAGTAAACATTTTGATGTGATATACTCCATGTAAATGGTGCATTTAGAATAGTTACATTATTGTATTTGAACATATAGTCTATCCAGTATATAATCTTACCCAGAACGTCACATATGTCAGGCCATTCTTTCTGCTTCTCCAGATTGAGTTTGAATTGTGAACAGATATGCACGTGACTTACATAGTGCAGAAGAATGCGCACCACACACCCAGACAGGTGCATGAGGCATGAGAGACTCATGAATTCACAAAACTGCATAAAGGACAGGCAAGATTGGAAACTATTTTGTTTGTCACTCAGTCGAGAGAAGCTTAATAAACATCCCACAATGGAAATAATGCAAAAGAAGATTGACAACTCACTGGAATACCTTTTTCCTCTACACATTTCATACTCAAGCTGTCGTCATGGTTACAAGTGAAGCACCTTTCAGCGTCATACCCATTGTTGAGCAGCAGACACATCATCTCGTCCCGCAGGCAGTACTGCAGAGCCGGGGGAAACACTGTGTTACTGACCACTGTGAAGTAACAATTGACGTCTGCCTGTCTGGCCAGAAGCAGCTTCACAATCTCATACCGCACATCTCTCACCGCCACCAGGAGGCAGCATAGAGGGTCCAGGTCAAGTTTGGCTCCTGCGTTCAGCAACATTTCGATGCATGGGATGTCCCTGTTGGAGACAGCAAAGTATAATGTGCTTCTTCTCATGTCCATGTACTTGTCTGAGAGGCGTGGGGTCAGGAGGACGTTGACGTACAAAGCTGTTTTCTATGAGTAGTTCCTTACAATCAGAATGGTTGCCATCAACTGCAGAGTGAATCGGGCTTTTTTTCCAATGAGTTTGATAGCCTTTCTGGTGGTAAGGGGTATCAACATCTTCAAGGCACTGAGGGTGAGAAATGAAAAACATTTGGTGGAGATGGACATGTCATTCAACACCTGTGAGGCCTGGCCGAATGTCTATGAACTGTGTTAAGGCAGATTTTGGGGCGGCAGGTAGCTTAGTGGGTAAGAGCGTTGTGCCAGCAACTGAAAGGTCGCTGGTTCTAATCCCCGAGCCGACTAGGTGAAAAGTCTGTTGATGTGCCCTTGAGCAAGGCACTTAACCCTAATTGCTCTGGATAAGAGTGTCTAGTAAAATGTGCTCACTCATAGTGACCCTTAAATCCTGCCTTGTGGATCAGTAGTTGTCCAGTCAAACTGGGTAGATTAGGGTTGGCTCCATTCTTTAAGAGAAGTTCGATACAGTCTGGGTTTCCTGAACCAACTGCATCTGTCAGAACCTTCTCCCCATTTAAAGCCTGGGAATTTACTCTGTTTCCTTATATGATATGTAGAAACAAAGTCACAGCAGCTGAGAGAATACAGTACATGAGACAAGTTTACAAGCAAGCACTGCAAATTCACAGAACCTATGACTAGATAGATACATTAACATTCCGAGCTGATTTTACCTCACTGGTTACATACCATAGTGAAGAAGGTCTAGTATGTGGATATGGCAACACCCAACGGTTAACCCGACCTCCGTGCCTTAGCAACACCTTCATGACCTCAGAGCAGCCCACCTTGGCTGCTTCCTGCATGAAGGTCCACTTCTTCTGACAGATCTGCTCCATCCAGGCTCCGCTAGCAATCAAAGAATAGGCCATTTCATATGACCCAGTCCTAACAGCTTCAGCAAGGAGAATGAAGCTATGCATCCTGACTGGCAAATGTCTATTGACATCTAGATTGGTTGAGCCAGACAGGGGAGGGGCTCAATCTGGATGGAATCCAGGCTACCAAGCAGGGTAGTTATTTTAATGCATGTAACAAACTGCAGGGCTTTGTTGACATAAACAAAGTATAGTACATTTTAGTCATTTAGCAGACGCTCTTATCCAGAGCAACTTCCAGTTAGTGAGTGCATACATTTTTCATACTGGCCCCCCGTGGGAATCGAACCCACAATCCTGCCGTTGCAAGCGCCATGCTCTACCAACTGAGCTACACGGGACTACCAGTACCTTGTTGGTACTACAAAGAGTTTTTGTACTTCCTGCATTTAAATCAATTGGAACTACCTGGTGCCAGTGTGTAACCATTAGACAATTATCATGGGCTGTTTATCATAAATATGGCACACTTATATATGTCATCATTGTGTGTTTTAAGCCTGCTCTCAGTTATGTTTGGCTTGAATCCCACCATTGATGTCATCAGAGATTAAGCTCATGGATGCAATGGATTATTCTCTTTTGTGACGTGTGTGTGTGTGTGTCCGTGTGTCCGTGCAGACAACAGGCCTGTAAAGTGTAGTATCTTAAAAATTCCTATGAGCTCCTGTGTCTGTAACCACATAGCAGTGGGTACTTGGTTCTGAAGTGTGGATTATCCCAGTAGTAGAGGCAGCCAGCCACTATAAAGCTGTTAGATTTCCATGGTTTTGAGGGGCCATCATTGGTATTTCATCCCCATTAGATGTTGCGAAAGCATCAGCTACTGTTCCTGGGGTCCACACAAAACATGAAACGTGACATATTACAGAACACAGCTCAAGGACAGACAGAACTACATACATTTCAAAATCATGTTGACATACTCCAGACCCAGATCACCCACCAGACCCATTCAAACTCCTAGCTTTACAACAGTATTCCACAATAACAAATACCTTAGCAGAGCTGTCAAAGCTGACCAGACCAGTCCAATGTTTTTACTGTTTACATTAACAATATGAACTTGTCTGTAAAAAAATTGTAACCTGCACTTGTTTGCCGATGATACTGTTGTGTATGCTATTGCCCCTACAGTTGACCAGGCTCTATCTGAACTACAGTCTGCCTTCATTGTATTACAGAAAACGTTGTTGACCTTAAATTAGTATTGAATGCAGGTAAAACTAAGTATATGTTGTTCTCTAGAGCGCATAAAAATAAGTCTGATTTAAGCATATGCACTTTGGATGGTGTCCATATTTATCGTGTCCATGCTTACAAATATCTGGGCATCTGTATAGATGAAAAGCTGTCTTTTAAAAAGCATATTGTTGAGTTAGTTAAGAAGCTGAGAATAAAAATGGGCTTCTTCTATAGAAATAGGTCCTGCCTCTCACTAGAAAGTAGATTATTCAGTCAACGTTCCTATTGGTCCTAGACTATGGCGACATCATCTATATGAACGCAGCTGCCACTTCATTAAAGCCGTTAGATGGAGTTTATCATAACGCACCGCGCTTTATTACGGGAGCCAATTTTAGTACTCATCACTGCATTCTCTACCAGAAAGTTGGTTGGCCCTCTTGGATGTCACATAGATTGATATATTGCTATGTTTTCATTTATAAAGCCATTATACAAAAAGTCCCACTGTACATAACATAATTACTAAACTGTAGACATTTGAGTTACCACACCCGGTCTCAGGGATGTCTAACTCTGGAAATTCCTTTGGTCTCCACTGTTATGTAAATCAGCTTTAGTTTTCTTGCACCTTATTTGTGGAACAATCTTCAAAATGTTCTTAAATGTGATGTTCTGGTGCCTCTAGGGCAATTCAAAAAGCTGATTGAGGACCTTATTACTGATGAATGTGTTTGTTTTTTATGACTGTGTTTTTCTTTTCGGCTTGCATTTTGTATTTATATTTTGATGTGTGTATTTTCTGTAATTTATGTAATTCAGGGCTCATCTATAAAAGACAATTTGGTCTCAGTATGACTCCCTGATAAAAATAAAGGTTAAACAAATAAAATACTCCTGGATTTTTAAGTGTAGGCCTAAATCACACTCTGGGCTCTAATCTGCGACCATCTTGGTTCCATATGCTCCTAAATATTTTGCTTGGAGGATAGTGGAAGTGGATAGAGTTCTACAGATGGAATATTTGAGGCTTTTATATAATAAGCTTCTATTGGTCTGTTTTTTTTGCAACTAATTTGCCAATCACATCATGTTTTGTGTCATATTCCCATTGCAATTTATCCCTGAACCCATAGGAGGCCATTTTGAAATATATAAAAGCCTTAATTTCTCTCTCTGGAAACTTTAATAAAGGCCAATTTATTTATTTTATACTGCTACCATTCATTTTTAATTAATTAACGTTCAAAGATTTTAATGCTGATTTCACAAGGGATGGTCCCCACTTGGACTCTGGTAACTTTCGTGGGTAGAGACGTTTCATTGGTTACATCTCATTGGCTACATTTTAGCAGAGATCACATGGAAGTTACCATGGCAGCGACCAAACACTTGCTGGACAGACAGCAGTTAGGCTGCAGTTGAAAATACATGGGAAAATATAAGCTAGCTAGCTTCTATCCAGCTTGCTTATCGACATTTTGAGAGTAACTGACAACAACAAATTATTTAATTCCAAATTCACTCACTTTTACTGACGCTTAAAAGCTGTCGTTTTTCCTACTGCTGTCAGAGGCTAGTTAGCTAGCTAGCTAGCTATCTAGCTAGCTATCTATCTGTCTATCTGTCAATCTGTCAATCTGTCAGCCATGTCAGAACAAGACGCAGAAACGTCGGGGCTCAACGGCAACGCTGATGAACAAAATGTGAATAAAGAGGGGAAAGCCCCTGAACCGGAATTAGGTGAATCTCAGGTTGAAAGCAATACCACTGTAGACACGCCTCCAGATGTACAAGATAGCGATGCTGTGGAAAAGACTGAAACTGGCGAGGTGGTGGGGGAAGCGATGCCCAAGTCAACTTTTTTGACATCAGGTGAGGAGGACACAGTGGAGGCGACAGCTCAAGCGGACCTTCCAGAGGACAGCAGGCAAGATGGAGCATCACCAAATAAAACAACCATCTCAAATGATGCTGGGAACTCAACAGCCACTGGTAAGAAAGATAATTTACAAAGTATCACAATAATAATAGTAGTTTCATGATAGGAAGGGCATTTGTCTGCTTTATCATGTTTCTCTCAATCATATTCTGTGTTGGACATGTTGTTTATCTTCTCTATTGTAGTGAAGATCATGCTGATGCCGGAGGGCCACGTGATGACGATGGCCTTTGCAATTGGGCTGACCATCAAGGAGTTGAAGTTTCACTTTGCAAATGAGCTGAAAGTGCCATCAGAAGTCATACAGATCTCTCTTAGTGGTAAGCCTTTCTACTAACTGCTAAGGCCTTGACTTTCTTGGTTTATGCATTATGATTTATGTCTTTGGCCATCCAGGCAGGATGGTAGAGGACCATAGGACCCTGATAGAGCTGGGAGTGCAGCCTCATGGCACCATCCAGTTAGAGATGACCTCGTCTGACCCTGAAAACCACCCCATCCGTCCTGTCAAGCCACAGCAGGACTACAACATGCCTGATGTCATCACTGTCCGAGTCCAGACAGGTATTTTTTACTAGTCTTTCTCTACCCATCTTCTGGGAGACAATACCATACTGTTGCAGGGCCAGCTTTCATGGATGATAGTCACATGCGTTGCATCCTTTATCTGTATATTTCTGTCTCCCTTTCCCCCCCTTGCTCTCCCGCTCTCCCAGACCCAGAGACATTCCAGGATGTGGTGGTGGAGATTGAGAGGGCCACCCATAGGAAGGCTTTCCTGGGAGGCTACAGACACAAGGCCACAGAGACAGAGTACCACCATGCAGCTGTACAGACCATAGCTAAGAGGAAACCCATTACGGGGGTGGGGACCTTCAGCCGCAATACACAGGTACACACACACACACACTAGTCCTGAGCGATTAACTGACATTTGTTATTTTGAATTTTTTGAACAACTAATTGACCGACGTCGGTTCAATTATTTGAATTCCATTTAGTTCTGTTTTTTTCTGTGGCTCAATGCGCAGTTTCCTTAGAGATACACTACGTGACCAAAAACATTTCTGTATGGACCTCGCTTTTTGCACTGGGAATTGTCATGCTGAAACAGGAAAGGGCCTTCCCCAAACTGTTGCCACAAAGTTGGAAGCACAGAATCGTCTAGAATGTAATTGTATGCTGTAGCGTTAAGATTCCCTTCACTGGAACTAAAGGGCCTAGCCCAAACCATGAAAAACAGCCCCAGACCATTATTCCTCCTCCATCCAAACTTTACAGTTGGCACCATGCAGTCGGGCAGGTAGCGTTCTCCTGGCATCCGCCAAACCTAGATTCGTCTGTCGGACTGCCAGATGGTGAAGCGTGATTCATCACTCCAGAGAACACGTTTCCACTGCTCCAGAGTCCAATGGCGGCGAGCTTTACACCACTCCAGCCGACACTTGGCATTGCTTATGGTGATCTTATGCTTGTATGCGGCTGCTCGGCCATGGAAACCCATTTCATGACGCTCCCGACGAACAGTTCCTGTGCTTGTGTTGCTTCCAGAGGCAGTTTGGAACTCGGTAGTGAGTGTTGCAACCGAGGACAGACGATTTTTACACGCTACGTTCTTCAGCACTTGGCGGTCCCGTTCTGTGAGCTTGTGTGGCCTACCACTTTGAGGCGTAGCCGTTGTTGGTCAGACGTTTCCAATTCACAATAACGGCACTTACAGTTTACCGGGGCAGCTCTAGCAGGGCAGAAATTTGACGAACTGGTTTGTTGGAAAGGTGGCATCCTATGATGGTGCTACATTGAAAGTCACTGAGCTCTTCAGTAAGGCCATTCTACAGCCAATGTTTGTCTATGGAGATTGCATGGCTGTGTGCTCGATTTTAGACACCTGTCAGCAACGGGTGTGGCTGAAATCGCCTAATCCACTAATTTGAAGGGGTGTCCACATACTTTTGTATATATAGTGTAAATCAGATCAAGCCCGAACTGTGCGATGTACAGTGAGGGAAAAAAGTATTTGATCCCCTGCTGATTGTGTACGTTTGTCCACTGACAAAGAAATTATCAGTCTATAATTTTAATGGTAGGTTTATTTGAACAGTGAGAGACAGAATAACAACAAAAAAATACAGAAGAACGCATGTCAAAAATGTTATAAATTGATTTGCATTTTAATGAGGGAAATAAGTATTTGACCCCCTCTCAATCAGAAAGATTTCTGGCTCCCAGGTGTCTTTTATACAGGTAACGAGCTGAGATTAGGAGCACACTCTTAAAGGGAGAGGGAGAGGAGATAATTTCTTTGTCAGTGGGCAAACGTACAAAATCAGCAGGGGATCAAATACTTTTTTCCCTCACTGTAGTAGGGTGTTGTAGTTTCCAACAGGCCAATATTCTACATAGTTTAGCGCAGAAAACATGGTAATTAACTACAAGGACCATAATCCATTGTGTGCCTACTTGTCCGGTCTGTGTGGGACAGACACGGAGAGGGAGAGGAGCGATCGAGAGGGATAGAGAGCAGTTGCTTCGTGGGGTATCGCTACCTGAAAATACATTGATAGTTGGTATTGTGATTTTGTCAGACAGCATAGGCAGCAGCTCTATAGAAATGACATGATGTCTTGGAATAAAGTAATCAAATAAAACAAATGTAATATACACAACAACTGAAATATTTTATTCAAGTAAAGTAATGTGAATAAATGTTGTTGTTACAGCATTCAACCCACATAAAGCATAGTGCATTTAATGTGTAAAAAAAGGTTTGAAACCAAAAACAAACAACAAATATATATATATATACAGTACCAGTCAAAAGTTTGGACACACCTACTCATTGAAGAGTTTTCCTTTCTTTATTTCTACATTGTAGAATAATAATGAAGACATCAAAACTATGAAATAACACATGGAATCATGTAGTAACCAAAAAAGTGTTAAACAAATCAAAATATATTTTATATTTGAGATTCTTCAAATCGCCACCCTTTGCATTGATGACAGCTTTGCACACTCTTGGCATTCTCTCAACCAGCTTCACCTGAAATGCTTTTCCAACAGTCTTGAAGGAGTTCCCACATATGCTGAGCACTTGTTGGCTGCTTTTCCTTCACTCTGCCGTCTGACTCATCCCAAACCATCTCAATTGGGTTGAGGTCAGGGGATTGTGGAGGCCAGGTCATCTGATGCAGCACTCCATCACTCTCCTTCTCGGTAAAATAGCCCTTACACAGCCTGGAGGTGTGTTGGGTCATTGTCCTGTTGAAAATCAAATTATAGTCCCACTAAGCCCAAACCAGATGGGATGGCGTATCGCTGCAGAATGCTGTTGTAGCCGTGCTGGTTAAGTGTGCCTTGAATTATAAATGAATCACAGACAGTGTCACCAGCAAAGCACCCCCACACCATAACACCTCCTCCTCCGTGCTTTATGGTGGGAACTACACATGCGGAGATCATCCGTTCACCCACACCACCAAAGACACGGCTTGAACCAAAAATCTGGACTCCAGACCAAAGGACACATTTCCAACAGTCTAATGTCCATTGCTTGTGTTTCTTGGCCCAAGCAGGTCTCTTCTTATTATTATTGGTTTCCTTTAGTAGTGGTTTCTTTGCAGAAATTCGACCATGAAGGCCTGATTCACACAGTCCCCTCTGAACAGTTGATGTTGAGATGTGTCTGTGACTTGAACTCTGTGAAGCATTTATTTGGGCTGGTAACTCTGATGAACTTATCCTCTGCAGCAGAGGTAACTCTGGGTCTTCCATTCCTGTGGTGATCCTCATGAGAGCCAGTTTCATCATAGTGCTTGATGGTCTTTGCGACTGCACTTGAAGAAACTTTCAAAGTTCTTGACATTTTCCGTATTGACTGACCTTCATGTCTTAAAGTAATGATGGACTGTCGTTTCTCTTTGCTTATTTGAGCTGTTCTTGCCATAATATGGACTTGGTCTTTTACCAAATAGGGCTATCTTCTGTATACCCCCTACCTTGTCATAACACAACTGATTGGCTCAAACGCATTAAGAAGGAAAGAAAATCCACAAATTAAGTTTTAAGAAGTCACACCTGTTTTTTTTGTTTTTTTTTCGGGGGGAATGGATCAGCTTAATATTGCAGATAGATTGTATCTTCTATCAATGTAATTGTCTGCATCACTTCCAATCCCCCATGTTTATTTTTATTTTTTATATATATATTCCCCTTTATTACTTTTCAACCCCACCATCCTTTCCCTACTTGGAGTAAATTAGTGAACAACAACGCCCAGGCCTCTACTTCCGGTCTATACTTACTATCTACACCTTATGGACAGAGTTAATTTTACAATAATTCCATATATATATATATATATTTTTTTTTTGCTCCTGAACTTCTTCTACTCGAAACCTCTCCGATCATTTTCATGATGTCCATCCGGTTTGCTTCTAAATGCCATATCTTTCTAACTGTGCTCTTTCCCAAAAGCTCCCAACATACAACCTATATACTTATTATGGACACAGTATGCTTACATTATTAGCTATCTTTGTTATTATTTGTTATTAGTCCCATCCTTCAACTCTATTCAATACCTCCCATCTATCTCTTAACACCATCCATATAGGATTTCTATTTGCCATATATATTTCAACCGTACTGTGATGTTTTACAAAAGTTCTGAACCTTTCTATTCTCATTGCTTCTACAGATTGTGAATTAAAAATAAACATTTTTGCTAAAAGTATTATTATATTATTGATTGATTGACTATGACTTTTCAGATCACCCAGTAATGCTATCTGCAAGGTTAGTTCCAGGTAAATATTGCAATCCTTTAGCCATTCCTGGACCTTTGTCCAAAAACAAGCTACAAATGGACAGAACCAAAACAAATGATCTAATGATTCTGTCTCTTCACAGCAACATCTGCAGAGCTGGGAAGATTGTATCCCAAAAATAACATTAATGCAAGTTTTATTAATGAATCACTTGCCCTCATCCTTCGGAGCTCTTTGGTCTTGCCATGGGGGAAAGTTGGGAAATCTGATATGATTGCTTCTGTGACATGTGTCTTTCATACAGGTAAAAAGCTGAGATTAGGAGCACCCCTTAAGAGTGTGCTCCTAATCTCAGCTCGTTACCTGTATAAAAGACACCTGGGATGAGAGGGGGTCAAATACTTTTTCCCTCATTAAAATGCAAATCAATTTTAACTTTTTTTGACATCGTTCTTCTGGATTTTTTTGTTGTTATTCTGTCTCTCACTGTTCAAATAACCTACCTTTAAAAATTATAGACTGATCATTTCTTTGTCATTGGGCAAACGTACAAATCAGCAGGGATCAAATACTTTTTTCCCTCACTGTAGTGGGGTGTTGTAGTTTCCAACAGGCCAATATTCTCCCTAGTTTTTGCGCAGAAAACATGGTAATTAACTACAAGGACCATAATCCATTGTGTGGCCTACTTTTTCCGGTCTGTGTGGGACAGACACGGAGAGGGAGAGGAGCGATCAAGAGGGATAGAGAGCAGGTTGCTTTGTGGGGTATCGCTACCTGAAAATACATGATAGTTGGTATTGTGATTTTGTCAACAGTATAGGCAGCAGCTCTATGGAAATGACATGATGTCTTGGAATAAAGTAATCAAATAAAACAAATGTAATATACACAACACTGAAATTTTTATTCAAGTAAAGTAGTGTGAATAAATGTTGTTGTTACAAAGCTTTCAACCCACATAAAGCATAGTGCTTTTAAATGTGTAAAAAAGGTTTGAAAACCAAAAAAAACAAAAAAAATATATATATACAGTACCAGTCAAAAGTTTGGACACACCTACTCATTGAAGAGTTTTTTCCTTTCTTTATTTCTACATTTTAAATAATAATGAAGACATCAAAACTATGAAATAACAAAAGGAATCATGTATTAAACCCAAAAAGTGTTAAACAAATCAAAATATATTTTATATTTGAGATTCTTCAAATCGCCACCCTTTGCATTGATGACAGCTTTGCACACTCTTGGCATTCTCTCAACCAGCTTCACCTGAAATGCTTTTCCAACAGTCTTGAAGGAGTTCCCACATATGCTGAGCACTTGTTGGCTGCTTTTCCTTCACTCTGCCGTCTGACTCATCCCAAACCATCTCAATAGGGTTGAGGTCAGGGGATTGTGGAGGCCAGGTCATCTGATGCAGCACTCCATCACTCTCCTTCTTGGTAAAATAGCCCTCACACAGCCTGGAGGTGTGTTGGGTCATTGTCCTGTTGAAAATCAAATTATAGTCCCAGTAAGCCCAAACCAGATGGGATGGCGTATCGCTGCAGAATGCTGTTGTAGCCGTGCTGGTTAAGTGTGCCTTGAATTATAAATGAATCACAGACAGTGTCACCAGCAAAGCACCCCCACACCATAACACCTCCTCCTCCGTGCTTTATGGTGGGAACTACACATGCAGAGATCATCCGTTCACCCACACCACCAAAGACACAGCGGTTTGAACCAAAAATCTCCAATTTGGACTCCAGACCAAAGGACACATTTCCAACAGTCTAATGTCCATTGCTTGTGTTTCTTGGCCCAAGCAGGTCTCTTCTTATTATTATTGGTTTCCTTTAGTAGTGGTTTCTTTGCAGCAATTCGACCATGAAGGCCTGATTCACACAGTCCCCTCTGAACAGTTGATGTTGAGATGTGTCTGTGACTTTTATTTGGGCTGCAATTTCTGAGGCTGGTAACTCTGATGAACTTATCCTCTGCAGCAGAGGTAACTCTGGGTCTTCCATTCCTGTGGTGATCCTCATGAGAGCCAGTTTCATCATAGTGCTTGATGGTTTTTGCGACTGCACTTGAAGAAACTTTCAAAGTTCTTGACATTTTCCGTATTGACTGACCTTCATGTCTTAAAGTAATGATGGACTGTCGTTTCTCTTTCCTTATTTGAGCTGTTCTTGCCATAATATGGACTTGGTCTTTTTCCAAATAGGGCTATCTTCTGTATACCCCACTACCTTGTCATAACACAACTGATTGGCTCAAACGCATTAAGAAGGAAAGAAAATCCACAAATTAACTTTTAAGAAGTCACACCTGTTAATTGAAATGCATTCCAGGTGACTACCTCATGAATCTGGTTGAGAGAATGCCAAGAGTGTGCAAAGCTGTCATCAAGGCAAAGGGTGGCTAAGAATCTCAAATATAAAGTATTTGTTTAACACTTTTTTAGTTACTACATGATTCCATATGTGTTATTTCATCGTTTTGATGTCTTCACTATTATTCTACAATGTAAAATTTTTTACAAATAATGAAAAACCCTTGAATGAGTAGGTGTGTCCAAACCTTTGACTGGTAGTATATATTATTTAAATAATCTAACCGAAACGACCACAAAAAACACTAAGCACTCAGCACTAACACACACACATTCAATGTATTTTTCAAACATTCTTTGTTTTTGGCACCTGGAGCTGCATAAGGTATGCGAACAATCCAATTTTCCCCCTCAGACAGTGACGGTGAAGAGCCAGTTCCAGCAGTGCACCAACAGCACATCCACCCAGATGACCAAGATCGGCTGCTACGTGTCCAACATGGAGGACAAGCTCATCTCCCCTGGCTCCTACATCACCGCCGACCAGTACCACGGCAAGAGACTGAGAGCTGTACGTCCTCTACACATAGACAGACAGACCTGAATTTGTATCTCTGTGCTCACAGCTTTACCCCCACCTATAGGTGATTGCTCTGCAAACGTACACGCGGCGCTGGCAGGCCAAGCGGATGACGGACCGGCTGAGGCAGGACAGGGAGCTGCGTCTGGCCTGGATGGAGAGAGAGGGGAGGAGGAAGAGGGAGGAGAAAGATGAGCAGATCAAGGCTGAGCACCACAGGAGGATGAACCCACAGTGCAGGGATGACTTCGCCCTGCTCTACAGTGCCCTGGAGAGTAAGCAGGGACCTCCCTTTGCTGCCCCTGTGTGTGTGTGTGTGTGTCACAGTAGGTTGGTGGCAACTTAATTGGGGAGGACGGACTTGTGGTAATGGCTGGAGCTGAATTGGTGGAATGGTATCAAATACATCAAACACATGGTTTCCATGTGTTTGATGCCATTCCATTCGCTCCGTTCCAGACATTATTATGAGCATTATCCCCTCAGCAGCCTCCACTGGTGTGTGTGTGTGTGTGTTTGTGTTTGTGTGTGTTTAAATCCTCTGTGTGTGTTTGTAACAGAGTGGAGGAGAGAGGAGGTAGAGCACATCGATGCCACTCTGGATGGTGCTGAGAGGAAGGCTGCTCTGTGTGCGCTACTGGAGCAGGAGACCCAGCTCATTGCCTCCATCGGACGCCACCGCATCGCCGCCGGAGAGAGGAATTACGACAAGGCCGTGCAGGCCTTCCTTGAGAAGGTCAGAGGTCCCCTCCACTCTATTCTCTCCCACTGCTCTGGGATATGTGCGGTGTCCCATTAATTCTCTATCAGAGTTTCCCATAGCATTGTATAGGCAATGCAGGGTCTCCTTAGTTTGAATTAAAACGTTTGACCAAATGATATATTATTTTTGTATTTGCCAGTGTGCTGCCCCTAAGAGGTGGCGTGCGTTCGATGGGAAGATTACCCAGATGGACACCCAGTACACCATCAGAGCCAAGGAGCTGAGAGACCTGTACTCCAGCATCAACCTGCGCTACCTCAACCAGGAGGAGAGGCTGGATGTGCTGCTCACACTCAAACACACCGTCAAGGTGGGAACACTTACCCTCAACCCATACTGACTGAAAAGATAGATTCTTCTTGAGCTGTTTTTAGATATGAAATATACATACTGAATTGACAATTGCCGATTGTTTTCTTTAAGGACTTTTTAATTTGTGAGTCATGAAAATGCTTCATAATCATAATGCTTTTGTGTGATTGTACAGGAGCACGACTGCAAGCTGACCCAGGACATTGTGGAGTTGATTGACAGGGAGGCGGACCTCCTGATGAGGGGGGTGAAGGAGACCAATCTGGAGGGGCTGAGGAAGAGAATCTCCACCCTCTTCCTCCAGTACATCAAAACCCCCACCTTTAACCCTGAGGTGGCCAAACTGCTCAAGGTACACTACATGACCAAATGTATATGGACACCTGCTCGTCGAACATCTCATTCCAAAATCATGGGCATTCATATGGAGTTGGTCCCCCCTTTGCTGCTATAACAGCCTCCACTTTTCTGGGAAAGCTTTCCACTAGATGTTGGAACATTGCTGCGGGGACTTGCTTTCATTCAGCCACAAGAGCATTAGTGAGGTCGGGCACTGATGTTGGGTGATTAGGCCTGGATTGCAGTCGGCATTCCAATTCATCCCAAAGGTGTTCGATGGGGTTGAGGTTAGGGCTCTGTGCAGGCCAGTCAAGTTCTTCCACACCGATCTCGACAAACCATTTCTGTACGGACCTCGCATTGTGCACGGTGGCATTGTCATGCTGAAACAGGAAAGGGCCTTCCCCAAACTGTTGCCACAAAGTTGGAAGCACAGAATCATCTAGAATGTCATTGTATGAGTGGTATGTCAAGATTTCCTAGCACGAACCATTAAAAACAGCACCAGACCATTATTCCTCCTCCACCAAACTGTACAGTTGGCACTATGCATTCAGGCAGGTAGCTGTCTCCTGGCATCCGCCAAACCCAGATTCGTCCGTCAGACTGCCAGATGGGGTATTCATCCCTCCAGCGTGATTCATCACTCCAGACAACACATTTCCACGGCTCCAGAGTCCAATGGCCTTTCACCACTCCAGCCGACGCTTGGCATGGCTTATGGTGATCTTAGGCTTGTGTGCGGCTGCTCGGCCATGGAAACCCATTTCATGAAGCTCCCGACTAACAGTTTTTGTGCTAGGCGCTTCAGTACTCGCCGGTCCCGTTCTGTGAGCTTGTGTGGCCTACCACTTCGCGGCTGAGCCGTTGTTGCTCCTAGACGTTTCCACTTCACAATAACAGCACTTACAGTTGACCAGGACAGCTCTAGCAGGGCAGACATTTGATGAACTGACTTGTTGGCAAGGTGGCATCCTATGACAGTGCCACGTTGAAAGTCACTGAGCTCTTTAGTAAGGCCATTCTTCCAATGTTTGTCTATGGAGGTTGCATGGCTGTGTGCTCGATTTTATACACCTGTCAGCAACGGGTGTGGCTGAAATAGCCAAATCCACTAATTTGAATGGGTGTCCTCATACTTTTGTATATGGAGTGTACATCTCTGAGACTGTATGGTGTTTAGGTGTTATATGGTGTATTTTATTGTCAATAAAATACCATTATTGAACCTTCCCACTGGGCGCAGATGTCAATTCAACATCTATTCCACATTGGTTCAACGTCTTTTCATTGAAATGACGTTGAAACAACGGTGATTCAAGCAGTGTGTGCCCAGTGGGTTCACTTAGGCCAATTAAGAAAACTGTATTATGTACAGTATGAAACAAAAACTTGTGCGTGTCAAATTCTGACCCTCACCCTCTCCATCCCCCTCCTTCCTCCTTCAGGTCCCCCAGGACCCAGCCCAGCTGAGGAAGAACATCTACTTCTGCCGCGGCTGCAGCCGCTACCTGCTGTCCACCGACTTTGCCCTGACGGCCAATGCTCGCCTGGTGGGCAAGTGTCGTAGCTGTTCGGAGCTAGACAACGAGGCTCGCCGTCGTGAGGATTTCTCCCACTACAAGACCATCCTCAGGAGGCTCCGCAAGACTGAGGCCCAGAGGAACAAGGAGGCCAAGATTACCTACCTGCTGCAGGTGTGTGTGTGTGTGTGTGTGTGTGTGTGTGTGTGTGTGTGTGTGTGTGTGTGTGTGTGTGTGTGTGTGTGTGTGTGTGTGTGTGTGTGTGTGTGTGTGTGTGTGTCTGTCTGACTGTGGTCGTGTGTATCTTACAGGAGCAAGACCTGCGGTACCTGGTAGATGTAGTGTGGGGGGCCCAGTCGGCCCTCAGTGCGTGGAGCGACATGCATGACCTGGTGATGGTGAGGTGGGATTGCCAGTGGGAGTGGAGTCCCTGGAACTGCATCCTGCTCACCAAGGGGGAAGCTGCTGCTCACATCAAAATGGAGAACATTGAGAAGGTGAACACACACACACACTTTTGAGGGTTTAAAATGAATTGCCTAGTTTCTACAGCAGATGTTGTTGTAACTAAGTAAACATAACCTATATTAACAACCTTACAGAGATAGTATTAGTACCAGAGAGAGAAGAATCAGTTCTAGGCAATATTATGTAATAGATTTTGATACCACTAGCTAGATGGGGAAAGTCTAAAGTATCAAACCCCTGTTGACCATGGACAGGCCTATGGAGTGGTGTTCATTCGGAATGTCAAACACAAACACACACTGGCAAAGAAATACTTCTCCCAGATCCCCGTCATGGCCAAATACCTCCAGGACGTGGACTCGCAATCAGCCACCCACGGCAACCTGTTAGTCGCCAAGCCCATCACGAATGCGACAACCAGGATCCTGACCACCACCCCACAAGCCGCTGGTGGTAAGGCCACGCAGTGAAGCCCTCTTCCTCCCTCTTCCCGTCTCTTTATCAGTCTGTCCCCCTCTTTCCCCTCTTCCTCTCCATCTCTCCTGTATGTAAAATAAAAATAGTATATTTGATTATCATTGAACTGGTTTGGCTTATGCAACTTTGAAATGGATGTCTAATTTCATGATAAAAGTGATGATATTAAATAGATACTGTAAAATACAACCTGAATGGATCTTTGTGTGCACAATCTCGTAAGCTCTTGACTCATGATCTTGGTAAGAAGCTGGTACATACAACAGTGTTAAACAACATCCGTTGGGAAACCATAAGATCCCAAAAAGGATCCTTGGAAAGTTTTTTTTAACCAGGAATTCAGAATGTTCAAAATCCAATGTGATAGTGTACAATACCCAATTTACCAAACTGCTCACTTTCATGTGTGATAAACTGATCTTCTGGTCTGATTAATGAATCCAGAAATTCATAAAGGAGTATTTATCACATTTTTTACATCACATTGAACATCTAAAACTTTTGTGTTCATGTCTGTCCGTTATAATTTATTGAGACACATTTCTTATCTGTTATCTAAATGATTAACAGTCAGGTGGCATAGGGTCATTCTCAGTGCTTTGTACTGTATGGTCAAAGACTACTAGCCTGATACACATGTAAACTCGTGAGATCAGGATGGCCGTACGAGGCTAAAATACTACAATAGCAATAAGTCAATGTTCTCAGTACATACAGTCAGGTCCAAAATTATTGGCACCCTTGATAAAGATGAGCAAAAAAGACTATAAAATAAATAATACAAATACTGAGCTATATTGTATGCTCAAAACAATGGGGAAATTATATTGTTTTATACTAGGCACAGACGTCAGTTCAACGTCTAGTTTTGGTTGAGTTGTCAACTAATGTGAATTCAACGTGAAATCAACAAAACATTTCACCATCATTGGATTTAGGTTAAAAGTTGGGTGAAAAAATACAAAATTCCCTTATGTTGATGACTTTCTGCTAATCCAATCAGTTTTCCACATTGATTCAATGTAATCACATTGCATTTTTTTGTTGAAATGATGTGGAAACAACGTTGATCCAACCAGTTTTTGCCAGTGGGATGTGGTGAATATTCAAAACTCTTAGTAAAAAACTTCAAACAGGTAACACTTGTAACGCAGCAAGTCTTATATTCAAAACCTTTTATTATGCATTCATTTGGTTTGTATACATCTTGCACCACACAACCATTGATCCAAAATATAATTTTACTGTGAAATACCATGAGAACATTGATTTAGTCACCAAAATAGAATGATATTCTCAATGTAGTTGTTTTAACAACCAGTTAATCCAATAGCAAAAAAATGCCAGATACAGGTTTCAAAATTACCTTTTGAATTTAATATGCTACAGTACTGTCAAAATTGATTTATAATTTTCTTAATTTCAATTCCATGTATGATCATTGAAGACATCCTTCACTATCATTGATGCAAAGAAAATACATGTATTGTTCAGATATAATTACAACATAGGTGTACTGTAATCAAATGAAACAAATGAAATGAAAGAAACATAACGTTTAGCAGGCACTAGTTTGCATCAAGCCTGTCTTGAGCATTTGGCCATAGGTTCTCATCGACATCGCAGTAAATGTTGTCATTGTTCGTTCATGCATTGTGGGAAGAAAATCAAATCAAATTGTATTTCTCACATGCTTCGTAAACAACAGGTGTAGACTAACAGTGAAATGCTTACTTAGGGTTCCTTTTTCAACAATGTAGAGTTAAAGATAAAAATGTAATAAAAAATAGAAAGTGACACAATTAATAAATACAGTGATTAACAAATGACAATGATGAATATAAATAACATGGCTATATACAGGGAGTATCAGTACCAAGTCAATGTGCAGGGGTATGAGGTGTTTGAGGTAGATATGTACATATACAGAAGGTAGGGTTAAATGACTAGGCAACAGGATAGATAAGACAATAGCAGCGGGTAGCCATTTTATTAGCTATTTAGTAGTCTTGTTTAGCAGTCTTATGGCTTGGGGGTAGAAACTGTTCAGGGTCCTGTTGGTTCCAGACTTGGTGCACTGGTACCGTTTGCCGTGCGGTAGCAGAGAGAACAGTCTATGGCTTGGGTGGCTGGAATGTGAAAACATTTTGGGCCTTTCTGACACCGCCTGATATAGAGGTCCTGGATGGCAGGGAGCTCGGCCCCAGTGATGTACTGGGCCCTACTCACCACCCTCTGTATTGCCTTTTCAATGTTAACCTGTTTGAAGGTCTTACTCACATTGGCTACGGAGAGCGAGATAACACAGTCGTCCGGAACAGCTGGTGCTCTCATGCGTGGCTCAGTGTTGCTTGCCTTGAAGTGAGCATAGAAGGCATTTAGCTCGACTGGTAGGCTCGCGTCGCTGGGCAGCTCGTGGCTGGGTTTCCCTTTGTAATCCTTGATAGTTTGCAAGCCCTGCCACATCCGTTCAGCGTCAGAGCTGGCGTAGTAGGATTCGATCTTAGACCTGTTTGATAGCTCGTTAGAGGTCGTAGCTGGATTTCTTTGAAAGGGGCAGCTCTAGCCTTTAGCTCAGTGCGGATGTTGCCTGTAATCCATAGCTTCTGGTTGTGGTATGTATGTACGGTCACTGTGGGGACGACGCCGTCAATGCACTTATTAATCCCGCTTAAGAGACAGGTTGAAGCATGCTTGACAGAGACGCTAAGCTGCTAGCCATCAAGCTAACAAAGTTGGTACCAGATGAGTATTGCAACGGAACCCTTTTTGTCTGGAGAACTAAATGAACGGTTCCAGCACTGTAGGAGCTGTATCTATTACGCTTTGTTTTGGGACAAACTGGATCACTCGGAGTTCCAATGCAGCAATTCTTTACTTGCCGAGGATTATAGGCTTCCTTGATCACGCAGGTCGCCAGCCTACGTAAGAAACTGGGGAAAACGCAGAGTGGAATGTTCACATTTTCTACACCGGTGGCTGTACGGCGTTCGTGCTTGTTGGATGCATCTCCGCCTTGTTTACATTTTGCCATTGGGGATGACCAGTGAGATATACCTGCTGGAGCGCATACAGTTAGTAAGTGGATGTTGCTATGGTGACCAATGAGCTAAGATAAGGCGGGGATTTGCCTAGCAGTGATTTATAGATGACCTGGAGCCAGTGGGTTTGGCGACAAATATGTAGTGAGGGCCAGCCAACGAGAGCGTACAGGTCACAATGGTGGGTAGTATATGGGGCTTTGGTGACAAAACGGATGGCACTGTGATAGACTACATCCAATTTGCTGAGTAGAGTGTTGGAGGCTATTTTGTAAATGACATCGCCGAAGTCAAGGATCGGTAGGATAGTCCGTTTTACGAGGGCATGTTTGGCAGCATGAGTGAAGGAGGCTTTGTTGCGAAATAGGAAGCTGATTCTAGATTTAACTTTGGATTGGAGATGCTTAATGTGAGTCTGGAAGGAGAGTTAACGGTCTAACCAGACACCTAGGTATTTGTAGTTGTCCACATATTCTAAGTCAGACCCGCCTAGAGTAGTGATTCTAGTCGGGCGGTCGGGTGCAAGCAGCGTTCGATTGAAGAGCATGCATTTAGTTTTACTAGCGTTTAAGAGCAGTTGGAGGACTACGGAAGGAGTACTGTATGGCATTGAAGCTCGTTTGGAGGTTTGTTAACACAATGTCCAATGAAGGACCAGATGTATACAAAATGGTGTCGTCTGCGTAGAGGTGGATCTGAGAGTCACCAGCAGCAAGAGTGACATCATTGATATACACAGAGAATAGAGTCGGCCCGAGAATTGAACCCTGTGGCTCCCCTATAGAGACTGCTAGAGGTCCAGACAACAGGCCCTCCGATTTGACACATTGAACTCTACCTGAGAAGTAGTTGGTGAACCAGGCGAGGCAGTCATTTGAGAAACCAAGGCTATTTAGTCTGCCAATAAGAATGCGGTGATTGACGGAGTCGAAAGCCTTGGCCAGGTTGATGAAGACGGCTGCACAGTAATGTATTTTATCGATCGCGGTTATAATATTGTTTAGGACCTTGAGCGTGGCTGAGGTGCACCCATGACCAGCTCGGAAACCAGATTGCATAGCGGAGAAGGTACGGTGGGATTCGAAATGGTCGGTGATCTCTTTGTTAACTTGGCTTTCAAATACATTCGAAAGGCAGGGCAGGATGGATATAGATCTGTAACAGTTTGGATCTAGAGTGTCACCCCCTTTGAAGAGGGGGATGACCGCAGCAGCTTTCCAATCTCTGGGGATCTCAGACGATACGAAAGAGAGGTTGAACAGGGTGGTAATAGGGGTTGCGACAATTTCGGTGGCTAATTTTAGAAAGAAAGGGTCAAGATTGTCTAGCCCAGCTGATTTATAGGGGTCCAGATTTTGCAGCTCTTTCAGAACATCAGCTATCTGAATTTGGGTGAAGGAGAAGCGGGGGGAGCATGGACAAGTTGCAGCGGAGGGTGCAGAGCTGGAGGCCGGGGTAGGCGTAGCCAGGTGGAAAGCATGGCCAGCCATAGCAAAATGCTTGCTGAAATGTTCGATTATCGTAGATTTATCGGTAGTGACAGTGTTTCCTAGCCTCAGTGCAGTGGGCAGCTGGGAGGAGGTGCTCTTATTCCCAATGGACTTTACAGTGTCCCAAAACTTTTTGGAGTTAGTGCTACAGGATGCAAATTTCTGTTTGAAAAAGCTAGCGTTCGCTTTCCTAACTGATTGTGTATATTGGATCCTGACTTGCTGGTCAAGTCTGGGGTGAACCAGGGGCTATATCTGTTCTTAGTTCTGCATTTTTTGAATGGGGCATGCTTATTTAAGAGAGGAAAGCACTTTTAAAGAACAACCAGGCATCCTCTACTGACGGAATGAGGTCAATATCCATCCAGGATACCCGGGCCAGGTCAATTAGAAAGGCCTGCTCGCTGAATTGTTTTAGGGAACGTTTGACAGTGATGAGGGGTGGTCGTTTGACCGCGGACC